CTCTCGCTTCGTCTCGGTCGAAATGAAGCTTAAGAGCGTCACCAGTCCAGGACGGCACGTTAATTGAGTTTTGATTACCGCCATTGGATGATGGCGCGCCGGGTGAGTGCGTGGGCGACGGCGTTTGGAAGAGCATAGAGCCCGATGGAACAGCGGGTTTGCCATCCATCAGGGGTCCGTTACTGGTTGGCGCCATCGGCTGCTTATCCAAGGGAAAACCGCCCCCGCCGGCCCCGTACACCGAGCCGAACAGACTCGCCGCGTATTTGCCCGCGCCCAAAGAATGAGGCGGTAATCCGTTGTTACTTTGAATCACCGAGATCTCGTTCAGCTGTAAGTAATGCACGCCGTCTGGTTAGGTTTATTCGAAGACAATTATCTACAAAAACGAAAATAGACAACGATTATTAATTGCGGCTCTGCAATACCGTCACCGATACTTTGTGTTTCATCTCTTGTACAATATCGTTAAACATCTTAAGTTAGACAACAAAGCTTCTTGCGTGAGAAATTGTAATAAAAGCTTCCGTGACTTGTTGCAATATAAACTCGTCAGCATTTCTAGGGAAATATCTATGAAACTTTTATCACGCTAATCGCCTTTGTATTGTGTTGGTGGAATAGCCTTTCATTTCGAGCAATATAAGCATATTTACCTTCTGCTGGACGCCGTTAAGGAATGGTGCGGGAAGATATGGGTAAAAAAGGTCCGGCCGTCGTTGCAGAAACTCCGAGTCCTTGGGTGTGATTGGCAGAGGAGGTAGATCCAATGACATTCGTCGTCCTCGACGTGATGTTCCGTTGGTGAACATATGAGTGCCCATATGCACCTGCGGCAGAGAAACAAAAGGAAACGGTGAGAAGCGATATTCGTGTCGATATATTTTAATCGGATGAGCGCTGATCTTTCATCGAGCTCGAACGACTTGCGACTACGCGTTTTGGCGTTAGTAGAAGCGATAGCGGCTCTAGCTGGTGTTAGTAAAGATTATTGGGAGTTTATAGAAGAGAAAGAGAGAGTGAGAGAAAGAGACTCAGACTTCCGGTGGCAATTATATAGAGGAATGAATGTATTATACCTTAAGATTGCCTTTGGTGGTGAACGCCTTCTGGCAGACGGTGCATCGGAACGGTTTGTCGCCAGTGTGGGTTCTCATATGGATCTGGAGCGCCGAAGACGAGGAGAAATTCTTATTGCAAATCTGGCACAAGTGCTTGCTCGGCATGTCTGCAAATACATATAACGGTTTCGCTAAACTGACCCTGACTTCGTGTTGGAAATGTGCAATAATGATGGCTTAAGGATCGTTCTCTGTGTCTCGTAAAAGTCTGAGGCTACAGATTGTGAAAACTATAAAAGTGCGACATAAATAGACTTAAAATTAGCAACTTCTTTAAAGCTTTGCTTCTAATATTTCAATAATATTTTCACATACGATATGGAGTATCGGACATGAAAATACGAAATGCCACCATATACAATACAAGAAATTCAATTGAATAAAGAAACGAGAAAAATCTATGTAATCCTTCACCAACATATATACAGAAACATCGGTAGAGATAATGATAGACAGGAAATAACAGGAGGATTAAAAGCGTATGCGAAGCAGTAATAGCATCGGGTATATCAAACTATTGTTTTGGTTAACAAAGGAGATCGCAATTAGCAATGAGATCGAATCTGCCAAGCGAAGCTGAATTCGTGTGACGCTCGATGAAAAAGCACATTGAGTCTTATTCTTTATGAAAGCTAATGAACAATGTACTTACTGGCTGGTCTCTTTGGCGCCGGCAAATCTCCTTCCGGCGGAGATCTCTTTATTGGTATCGCGGACTCGATTGACGTAGGTGGCATCGGTGGGGGTGGTGGTGGCGGTGGAGGCGGGGGCGGTAGGCTCGAATCATCGGTGCACATCGGGCTCTTGGAAGTTTCGTGATCCTGACATAGCGGCTGCTGCTGCTGCTGCTGCTGCTGCTGCTGTTGCTGCTGCTGTTGTGGCTTTGCATCGCTGAATAGGTGCGGCGGCATATCACGAATCTTATGAGTCAACATGTGCTGCTTCATATTACCCTACGCATCAAAATATGTTCTTTTGTATTTAATTAAGTAGTTGACGGCGGTCCCTAGAAAGGAAGGAAAAGAGAGAGAAAAGAACACTTGTAGCATTGTTATTCATGTAGCATTAATATATAATATATTAGCGATTCGCGAATATTGTGATTAAGTTGATTGCCATTAAGCTCTTTATTAAGCTTTTATTTTATAAATGTGACCTATCTCGTGTTAGATATTTCTGTCCTACTTTATAAGAATTTTGACACATTAAATCCGAGACAGTCCTTTTGTTATGGAGATATAATCCCCATTATATATATTCAATATTTGCATTTCTTTGCATTATAATCTAATAGTTATTGCACGGATATATACACATCTTGTTTAATCTCTTCGATGCAAGTAATTACATCTTTAATTATAATTCGGCCAAATGAGAGTGTTACTTCGGATAGTTTAGCTGAAGAAAGCACGCGAATATTATTATATGCGAAAAGGTATAATTGCAAGTTGGCCAAGATGCGATCGCGACCATACGAGATAGCAAGACGAGTGCGTGTACGCTTGCTTTGTTTAGGAGGCTCTTACCAGGAAGACGTGGTCCGAGGGTAGAAGTCCGAGGGCGGGTGGCATCAGCGGGGGCAGGCGGACGGCAGGATAAACAGACGTCAGCCTTCGCCCCCCTCCTGCTCCTGTCCGCCCCCGGTTCTTCCGCTCCTCAGGCCGCCGCCGCCTGCGTTTCGGTTTCTCACGATTTCCGGCGGCCGATCTCGCCGGGTACGAGTGGTATTGGGGATTGGGTTGTGGGGGGATCGGACCCTTCGCGGCGAAGGGTTGGTCCGCGCAGGAACATGCTTGCTGACCGGAATCGTCGTTCTGAAAGTATAGCAGAACAGACGAGAAGAGTATAGAAGTGATATGAATAGATATTGTATGAGGCTTAGGAGAAGTTTTTTGTGCAATATTTTTTTTCTAACATTTTATTAATTAGTCCTTAATTAAACCTTAAGCATTGGCACGTCGTCAGTAGTAGTATTATAGATATACATATGTATGATATCTGATTCTTTTAACATTCTTATATTATAGTAATTCCACGCATTTTATGAAAAATTGTGCGATAAGTCGAAATCTTATGAGAGCCTCACATCAACGCCCTATACTAGTGCTTAAGAGTTAAATAAGATACAATATAGAGTTGTTTAGGCCTGTCACAATCAGCGATTTCTTTCTGTATGAAAAATGAACTGCAGGAAATTGCGACAACTTAAAAGCGAAAAAAAGAGAAAGCGGGAAAAAGAACGAGCGATTATTGGCTCGCGACAGTCGCTTTTAAAATAAAAAGCAGATTTATTTACCTTTGTGGAAAAACCTCGGTCGCATATAGTGCATTTGAAAGGTCGTTCCTTCGTATGACTCCGATAATGTATCTCCAATGCGGATTGGCACGCGAACGTCTTGTAGCAGAATTTACAAGTGGTGTTGCCACGTACTGTAACAAATCGTACCTCTTTACATTTTTGAGTCAGTTCTTCATACAGTGTATATGTGTATTCCTCGCTGGATATTTTTACACTAGTATGTTTTTGTTTCACAGCAATGTCCTGCATTGTGTATTTTTTCATGATATCTAATATGTGTCTATAAAATATAAAGTAGCAATGTTTAAAGATACTGATTTACTGATGACATTTTATTATTTATAAATAATTATAAAAAATTAATTAAAAATAAAGCCAAAGTATTGAATAATAGAGAGGAATAATAAAGAGGAGATGGGGATGAATAGTTAATGCAAAATGAGATCAAATTATATATTACAAAAGATTTATTTCTTAATATACATGTGTATGCGTGCGTGTATCTGTGTGTGAGATGATTTAATAAAATTAATGGATAAAAATAAATTAATAATATAT